TGAATTACATCAATTACTTTAAAATACATATAAATCAAATATGATATAGGCTTATCATGGAAATGCAGTTTAAGGGCCCGTTCACATCACATGCAGTGCATTTTTTTTTTCTGCATCCAAAACACATTAAAAGTAGATTACATGAGTTCTAATGGCATAGTTCACACCACTGTAGTCAGTTCCAGTGTGTTTCAGTTCCATACAAACAAGCACAATATGCTGCATTTTTCCTGCACAGAACTGTACTAGAACGTGGTAAAAACACATCAAAAACACATAGCGCACCGGACCCCAGTACAGTGAAAAAAAAAACATAAAAAAAGCATCTGGAACACATCCAGAAACACATCAAAACGCCTTAAAAACATGCATGCAGAAATGCATCCAGAGTGGATCTGGAGGACATTTTGTGGTGTGAACAGGTCCTTAAACTACACTCTATTTCTGTCTCTCAGTTGTGTTCCAACATTGTCACCCTGTCACATGGGCTTCTGATTGAGACTGCAATTGGCTGTTTCAACACACATTACACAGGTAAGGTCCACAGTTGTCACCATCAGGACATATATCCTGAGAAATGCCATTCAATCATCATAAGAAACAAGAAGTGTCTGCAATCAGGCCGCAGAAGACCAGCAAGACTGAGATTCAGCAAAGGATGAAAAAGGTAAAAAAAAAAACCCAAAACAACAGTATTACAAAAAAAAGGCAATTGTTTATGCTGCACTATGTTTTAGCAAATGTAAGGTCACTTAGGTGGGGTTTATATTTAAAGCTGGTTTTTAAATCTCTCATTAGTTCTCTCATTACAATGTTTACTATAAAAACATACAGTTTCATTCGAGCGTGTAATCATTCATTTTTCAGTGGAATGTTCACTTATCCTTTGATAGTCTTTATGTTTTATGATTTTCGTGTCAATAAAAATGCTTCTTTTTTCCCCTTCTACAGACCTCACCTGGGCTTTACAGTTATTGCCAGGCAAAGATTAGGAGCATTTGGGAATGTGTCAGGAAAGGTAGTCTATACAGGGAAAGACAAAGCCAAATAAATACTTGAAAACATATTTGTGAATGGTAAGCTCCGAGGAGCAAGGCCCTCCTATCCCTCTTGTATTGAACTGTATTGTTGCTGTATCGTCTCCCGTTATATTGTAAAGCGCTGAGCAAACTGTTGGCGCTATATAAATCCTGTATTATAATAATAATAATAATACAGGCAGGTAGTCACATGCTCCTCCATACCTGAAAGTGTTGAGTATTGTGGATGTCTGAGCAGCAGCAAGGAGGTGTGGGAGAGCGTTGGTAAGGGGTCGGGGACCCTCTGAAGATGCACTATCACTGCATTTACAAGGTGACAGATTTTAAGGAGTGAGACTTCACACAATCAGTTTTATGTAATGACTCCTACATAAGAGATAACAGAAAATTTTGTTAATTCAACTGATCTGTGCAACAACACCTTTGGTGAGTTCCAATGCATAAAGTTAGCTTATTCAATTTGTTTACCTTTTGGCTAAGTTCACATGGGTGCTGGATGCACAAAAAATATCCACTATACTTATTATTGGGGTGGCATTTCAACAATGGTGGGACTGTCTAATTGCTGTTAACATTTTAGATGTCCATACTATACAGGAAAAACTCACATCAACTGTGCATGGCTATAGGTAAAGAAAACTATTAAAAACGTATTTTGTACAGTGAACTGTACACATAGGGCAGCCTTTCTCAACCTTTTCAACACAGAGGAACCCTTGGAAACCCTTTCTGGTCTCTGGGAACCTCAGCTAAAAATGACTATTTCTACAGTTTATGGTACATTAGTGTGATGGTCAGTGAGAAGAGTGAGTTTAGGTAGGTGCAGTCTGCAGTCTCCACTGCAGGTGGTGCTCGACTGGAGCAGTATCAGAGCCTGGACTGGAAGTCACAGTTTCTGTTTGGTTTCCTGGGCTCTGAAGGCAGCATTCTGGTTTGCTACGCTGTATCCAAGTGACCCCTGGCAGCTATCCAGGTTCAGCAGAGCCTTTATAAGTACCTGCCTCCGGGTTTAGGCACACATTAAGTGGCTAGAGCAGGAAAAGAGCATCTGTCTGTCATGGAAAGTAACAGCGGAAGGGAAATGTTCCAGTTGAGTAGGGACAGGTTAGAGCCCTGCAAACCTGGACTCTGGTCTTCCTGTTGGGACAGGACTGGACAGGCTGCATTTCACCCTCTGAAGACAGACGCTGTCGGTGCATCTTTACCTGCTTCCAAAGACTGAACTATGAGTGTTACCCTCAGAGGCACTCTCCCACTGGGGTTGTTTGTGGTTGGCATTCTCTGCAATGCAAGGTTTGACTTTTCTACCACCGCACCACGCTGCAACACCCCTCACTCTCCTTACACTTGTTGTCATTGGGAGGAATTCCCCCCTTACAAGTAGCTAAAAAGATCAATGGTGTCAGAGGGAACATATCTAAGAGGCAGAAACTGCTCATTGCTCAAATCTCAGGAGGAACCCTAGAGTTCCATGGAACCCTTTCTGAGAAACCCTGCTGTAGGGTATTTGTATTGAGCATGCATGAATGTTTGTGTGCACGCCCAGAAGTTTAAGTACTAGTCAGCATATGAGATTCCATATAAACTTAGCTTCGTAGAGGCCACTCCAGACAATTCAAACTGCACACATGCTCAGTTAGAGAAGGAGACAATGCGCTGTGCAAGAAGAGTTTGTAAGGCCTGTAGAACAGTTTTCAGATTTTTATGAAGGGATCTAAGGCACCTCAAAAGCTTGCAACTTGAATAACGTAAGTTTTCTAATAAAGGGTAACATACTCCAAACTTTCTCTATTAATTGATGGCTGGCATGCTACAATACTCCGCTACTTTCTTATATTACAAATACAAAGATATATGCCGTATATAATGTCTGGTAGATTTTGCCTCTCATTTCTCTTTGATCGTATTTTCATTTTGTTTTTTTTTTCCTAAGCGCCTTTTCTATTATCTCATAAGCTCAGCAACTGCTGGAAAAGTAGCTCCACAATGACTGACTGCAGCAGACAGGACGATTTTGGAATCCTGTCTCCTTTGTCTCTTACTTGCCAGGAAATAAAAACACAAACATTCCAAATTTTACAGAAAACAAGGTTGTGTGTTTACCACTACAACAGGGCTGAAATATTATTTAATAAAGTTCTGGATTCATTAGCAATGAGATAGCATTACACTCTCTTCCTATAGAGCTAAATAAATATGAGCAAGCAAGGCAATAATAAAAAAAAACATACTACCCTTTACAAGTTATCATAACCATAGAATGATAGCTATAAAATGAACTTGATAGTTTTGTATTTACAGTTTTGTTGATAACCCTCTAAAGCAGTGGTTTCTCTCAACCTTTCTAACGCCGCGACCCCTTAATACAGTTCCTCATGTTGTGGTGACCCCCAACCCATAAAATTATTTTCGTTGCTACTTCATAACTGTAATTTTGCAGTAGGAGGAATAGTGCCACGTCATTGGTGTCAGTGGGAGGAATAGTGCCCCATCATTGGTATCAGTGGGAGGAATAGTGCCACGTCATTGGTGTCAGTGGGAGGAATAGTGCCCCATCATTGGTATCAGTGGGAGGAAATAGTGCCCCGTCATTGGTGTCAGTGGGAGGAATAGTGCCCCGTCATTGGTGTCAGTGGGAGGAATATGCCCCGTCATTGGTGTCAAGTGGGAGGAATAGTGCCCCGTCATTGGTGTCAGTGGGAGGAATAGTGCCCCTCCGTCATTGGTGTCAGTGGGAGGAATAGTGCCTCGTCATTGGTATCAGTGGGAGTAATAGTGCCCCATCATTGGTGTCAGTGGGAGGAATAGAGCCCCATCATTGGTGTCAGTGGGAGGAATAGTGCCCCATCATTGGTGTCAGTGGGAGGAATAGTGCCCCATCATTGGTGTCAGTGGGGAGGAATAGTGCCCCATCATTGGTGTCAGTGTGGAGGAATAGTGTCCCATCATCGGTGTCAGTGGGAGGAATAGTGCCCCATCATTGGTGTCAGTGGGAGGAATAGTGTCCCATCATTGGTGTCAGTGGGAGGAATATGCTACCATCATTGGTATCAGTGGGAGGAATAGTGCCCCATCATTGGTGTCAGTGGGAGGAATAGTGCCCCATCATTGGTGTCAGTGGGAGGAATAGTGCCCCATCATTGGTATCAGTGGGAGGAATAGTGCCCCATCATTGGTATCAGTGGGAGGAATAGTGTCCCATCATTGGTATCAGTGGGAGGAATAGTGTCCCCATCATTGGTAATCAGTGGGAGGAATAGTGCCCCATCAATTGGTGTCAGTGGGAGGAATTAGTGCCCCATCATTGGTATCAGTGGGAGGAATAGTGCCTCATCATTGGTATCAGTGGGAGGGATACGTGCCTCATCATTGGTATCAGTGGGAGGGATAGTGCCTCATCATTGGTATCAGTGGGAGGAATTAGTGCCCCATCATTGGTATCAGTGGGGGGGAATAGTGCCCCATCATTGGTATCAGTGGGAGGGATAGTGCCTCATCATTGGTATCAGTGGGAGGGATAGTGCCTCATCATTGGTATCAGTGGGAGGAATAGTGCTCCATCATTGGTATCAGTGGGAGGAATAGTGCCCCATCATTGGTATCAGTGGGAGGGATAGTGCCTCATCATTGGTATCAGTGGGAGGAATAGTGCTCCATCATTGGTATCAGTGGGAGGAATAGTGCCCCATCATAGGTGTCATTGGGAGGAGGAATAGTGTCCCATCATTGGTGTCGGTGGGAGGAATAGTGCCCCATCATTGGTAATCAGTGGGAGGAATAGTGCCCCCATCATTGGTGTCAGTGGGAGGAATAGTGCCCCATCATTGGTATCAGTGGTAGGAATAGTGCCCCATCATTGGTATCAGTGGGAGGAATAGTGCCCCATCATTGGTGTCAGTGGGAGGAATAGTGTCCCATCATCGGTATCAATGGGAGGAATAGTGCCCCATCATTGGTATCAGTGGGAGGAATAGTGCCCCATCATTGGTGTCGGTGGGAGGAATAGTGCCCCATCATCGGTATCAATGGGAGGAATAGTGCCCCATCATTGGTATCAGTGGGAGAATAGTGCCCCATCATTGGTGTCGTGGGAGGAATAGTGCCCCATCATCAGGTGTCAGTGGAAGAGGAATAGTGCCCCATCATTGGTGTCAGTGGGGGGTATAGAAGTCAGTTTGGTTTCAGTGGGGAAGCCCCATTCATGGTGTCAGTGGGGGAGAATAGTGCCCCATCATAGGTTCAGTGGGGGGAGGAATAGTGCCCCATCATAGGCATGTCAGTGGGTGGCTGAGAGGAATAAGTGCCCCATCATGGAAAGTGGGAAGGGAAATGTCCAGTTGGGGGGAGGAGGAATAGTGCCCCATCCTTGGTCTGGTCAGTGGGGACAGGACTGGAATAGGCTGCATTTCACCCTGGTGAAGACAGACGGTCGGTGCATCTTTACCTGCTTCCAAAGACTGAACTATGAGTGTGTCAGAGGCACTCTCCCACTGGGGGTTGTTTGTGGTTGGCAGGCTCTGCAATGCAAGGTTTGACTTTTCTACCACCGCACCACGCTGCAACACCCCTCACTCTCCTTACACTTGTTGTCATTGGGAGGAATTCCCCCCTTACAAGTAGTCTAAAAAGATCAATGGTGTCAGAGGAACATATCTAAGAGGCAGAAACTGCTCATTGCTCAAATCTCAGGGGGGACCCTAGAGTTCCATGGAACCCTGTCTGAGAAACCCTGCTGGGGTATTGAATTGAGCATGCATGAATGTTTGTGTCACGCCCAGAAGTTTAGGTACTATCAGCATATGAGATTCCATATAAACTTAGCTTCGTAGAGGCCACTCCAGACAATTCAAACTGCACACATGCTCAGTTAGAGAAGGAGACAATGCGCTGTGCAAGAAGAGTTTTGTAAGGCCTGTAGAACACCAGATTTTTATGAAGGGATCTAAGGCTACCTCAAAAGCTGCAACTTGAATAACGTAAGTTTTCTAATAAAGGGTAACATACTCCAAACTTTCTCTATTAATTGATGGCTGGCATGCTACAATACTCCGCTACTTTCTTATATTACAAATACAAAGATATATGCCGTATATAATGTCTGGTAGATTTTGCCTCTCATTTCTCTTTGATCGATTTTCGCGTTTTTTTTTTCCTAAGCGCCTTTTCTATTATCTCATAAGCTCAGCAACTGCTGGAAAAGTAGCTCCACAATGATGACTGCAGCAGACAGGGACGATTTTGGAATCCTCTCCTTTGTCTCTTACTTGCCAGGAAATAAAACACAAACATTCCAAATTTTACAGAAAACAAGGTTGTGTGTTTTACCACTATGAACAGGGCTGAAATGTTATTTAATAAACCTTCTGGATTCATTAGCAATGAGATAGCATTACACTCTCTTCCTATAGAGCTAAATAAATATGAGCAAGCAAGGCAATAATAAAAAAAAACATACTACCCTTTACAAGTTATCATAACCATAGAATGATAGCTATAAAATGAACTTGATAGTTTGTATTTACAGTTTTGTTGATACCCTCTAAAGGCATGATATATTCACAAAGGCAACAACATTGAAAGGGATATTTCATAAAAAAAACTAAATTTGGATTCCATTTCGAGGCACCAGCAGGACAGAACAATCCACCCCTGCACCCCTTTTTCAAAAATTATAAAAGATCTTCCATTTCATATTTCCCTGTAGTGCCACCTGTATGTGTCTCATTAGAACTAGAGACTCCAATTTTTATAGGTAAGGGTAGAATGTTCAGCAACACAAGCATAAATTCATTACACACCAATTTCAAGCAAACAAAAGCATTCTGTGAGCTATTACCACTATCCAGAAATACAAAAATTGTGCTAAAATAAATTTATTAACTTCATATTTCTTATATAATCTGGACTGTAGCTGAAAACCGCTGTGGAACTTTTTTTGTTGCTGCTGTATCATCCTTCTGCAGTATGGACAAGGGTAAGCTGAATAATCAGTACTGCAGAAGTGCAGCCACTATCTTTTAAGAAGACCAATTTGCAATGCTCGTCTATGGAGTGTCTCCAGTGCAGAAGACAACCATCTTGGCTGGATCTGGATTGATCCAGGAGGACAGTGATTGGCTGATACAACAAAGCAAGGGGAACTGGGTCAGCAGACTGTTGTGAGGAGAGGAAAGGTCAGTCTTAAAGATGGCAGGTAGGAAAAAAAAGACTTGGGTGCTTCTGGCTGAACGGAACCCTGCCATAACTGACCACAATTAGGAGAGACTGCTTATCGCACAGCACCTTGCCTTAGAGATGGGAACTTTCTCCCTGGGAAGGTTTGAGGTGTGATTTGAATGCCTGATGTGATCAGACTGTACTAGAGAGCACCCCTACCACTTGTAAGGAAAGAAAAGAGGGACTGTCTCAGCAGGATTGAAAGAGAGACATCACAGCAACTCCTATTCCTGTCTGAGGACTTAAACTGAACCAGAAAGATTTTTCCCCAGGTAAGGCAACAAACCAAAATAAAAGTACAACATAATTTACAACATAATTTTTTATTACAAATGTTTAAAAGACATTAGATTCTCACAAAAACAAAAAACACAGATGGCTAAGAACAACATATACAAGGCGGCTAAGTAAGAAGTGCAAGCTTGATGTAAAAATAGGAGTTCCTTTCTCAAATGATCTTGAGAAGAAAAGGAGTATTCTTCAGTGAAGTACCCAACTCGTTTCAGGGGTAAACTGAAGAAAGAGGATGGCTGGAGAAAACTCATCCAATTGCTGTTTGTCTTTACAAACCACCTATAGATTAAAAACATCTTTTTATGTCCACCCGCATCGCCAACCAGAGTTTCCACGACGGGGGAGTTATAGGATTCCAACGATGAGGTTACCCAGACGCTTCCAGGACCATATCAGGATCTAGAGGTACAAATGGATCCTGAAATGGAGAAAACGCCTCTGGTAATAGCAACAAAGCTGTTGGTAGATAATGCCTGAACTGAACCAGAGGACATGTTGGAGACCCAGAGGAGGGTGGAGAGTGCAAAGACTAACACTGCACAAGTTAATCTATTGTCTGCTGGGAACTCTTGCACTTTCTTCAAGGGCCCCAACTTTGCATGGCAACATTTTTTTTCATTATTAACTGCTTGTGTGATAAAACGAGGACTAGTATAGCATGTTAGGACTGTCTTTTTGTACTGTTACTAGGTAAAAGCAATTCAATTTTGTTAATTGCTCTTAGTCAGAATAATGCAGGTTTCTAACCAGATCTCTCATGGTAACATTATTATTATTATTTTACAGTATTTATATAGCGCCAGAAAGTTTGCTCAGCGCTGTACATTATAGTGGGGGAGAGAACATGAGACAATACAGTAACAAAACAATACACGAGGGGTACGAGGGCCCTGCTCTTTCCAGCTTACAATCTAGGAGGGAGGGGATAGTGGTACAGGAGGAAGTGGCTGTGGGGGATGGAGTGGTGGGAGGAGTGGAGGAGATCGGCTGTTAGGCGAGGGTGGGGTAGGCTTCCCTGAAGAGATGGGTTTTCATGGTGCGCCTAAAGGTGAGAAGGGTAGGTGACAGTCTGATGGATTGGGGTAGTGAGTTCCAGAGGATGGGGGAAGTCCTGGAGAAGTCCTGCAGTCGGGCGTGGGAGGAGGAGACCAGGGAGCTAGAAAGTAGGAGGTCTTGTGAGGAGCGAAGAGTACGGGTTGGGTGGTATTTGGGTATCAGGTAGGTGAGGTAGTTTGGGGCAGCGTTATGGATGGCTTTGTATGGCAGAGTTAGTATTTTGAACTTAATGCGTTGGGCAATCAGAAGCCAGTGGAGGGAATGACAGAGGGGGGTGGCAGAAGCGGAGCAGTTGGTAAGGTGGATGAATCTGGCCGCTGAGTTCATTATTGTCCTTTTGATTGTTTGTACAAAAATGGAACAAGTAATTACACTCACTAAACCTCTCTTCATTTTGGCTATGTTTGGCCCTTAGAAATTCTTTCAAATACTGTACCTCAAAGTGTGCTATTAAGTGCTGGGTGAGCGAGGTGTGTCATCTTCAGGAGTGCAGAGAAATCACAAAACAATTCAGCGGCTCCTCTGGTTGCTACATTTTTTTGTGCTATTCCCTGCAGAAGAAGCACACACAGCTCCTTACAGTATACGCAGGAGTGTTATTTAACTTGTTGCATAATGTCCTCACTCTTTTCCTGTGTCACCAATCACATTCCAACATCCAAAGCAGGTTTACAACTGAGTGGTGGCTGTGAGGATCTATTTAGTACATTGAGGAGGATGTTCTAACACTACAAACAGATATAGTCCAGGATCACCAGATTACAGAGGGACAGTGGTAAATATTTCACATTCAGAGGAGTGGACTGGTGCAGTGATTGAAAAACGATATTATTCAGTGGGTAGACAGTGCTCATTATATGAATCTCAAGGTTGAATGTCCAAATTTGGCTGAAGTGTATGTTTAAAGGAAACATATACTGTGGGAAATATGCAGCTTGCTATTGCTAAGCTCTCCCTCAGAAAGTGTAATTACCTGGGACTTACTCTGATCCAATGCTTTATTATTTCTGAGCCACTGATCCGGAACTAGTATGCAGGAATTCTGATTTAAAGGTTAACTCCACTTTCATGGGCAAAAAAAGTAAATACAAAAACATATATAAATACAATTAACAATTGCTATACAAATCATATTGTATTTGAATGTTATTAAAAATTACCTTTCTTTTTCAATCTGTAGCACTGTAATTTTCTGTAAAATGCAATTGAATATGGCAATCTGGAGGTGTTCTGCACACAGCTGTTGTACAGAACGCCCCCAGAAATGTCAATTCCTGGTTTTGTGATTGGCTTACTGATTTTTCAACAACACTAAGATACAAGTCAGATTTTGGGCATCCTCTGCAACAAACATTTCATTTTTGGTGAGATACTCTAAAAGGTAAATTACGTCTAAAGGGATTTAGACCCTGACACTTTCCCCTTTAGAACCCTGCAAGAGCAGCAGCTAGTTAATAATTATAAAGTCACTCCCATTCACGCTCACTTTGCACATGAACACAGACACAGACACACAAACAGCTATTTCTTCAGAATAACAAAAGGTAGGACTGTGCAACAGCGTTTGTTCAAATCCTTGCAATGTACATAGATCACCCAGAGGGGAATGCTTTTTTTCTTAACAAAAGTGGAGTTGATCTTTAACTTGCCACATGCTTACTCCAAGCTCAGTGACTTGTGAAAGATTATAGATAACAATTAACTACCATTTTCAGAAGGAGGTCATCAGTGCAGGTCCCATTATTT